GGCAACCACACTATCAGAATCACCAGTTTTCTTTGTAAATTCGGTATTGCACATCTCATTTTCACTCTCAGCATCGTCTTTTCCTTGTTTATCAGTGATGTATTCGTTTTCAAATTGACTGTTCCTTTGAGGTTCCTTAACTACAAATATCAAACACAGAGTAGCAACGATGCCCATTCCTCCTGTTACAATATACGACCACCGCCAGCCCTGAAAGCATGAGAAGTAATGCTGCACGTGATTTACTGCCAGGATATTACATGAAATGTGTTAGAAATGTTATAAACTTATGTGGAGAGTATATATACCCTGTGGCTTCTCTGCCCAGGGTTTAGGTGCCTTGGGTTTTGGCATTGCCGCTCTCGTCTGGTTGGATGCCCTTCCTAAAATATCGACCGTGGTTTACTCGGGGACCTCTCCACGGCCCTCGGCGAACGGCGGTGTTAGGAAGCCACATTCACAATGAGTTCTTCTTGCTTTCCATGAAGGGAAATGTTTCCTTACAGGCGATCCTGGGTCTCCTCTCATGTCGTCTGGCTGACCTATATATGCAATATATATGGTTGGGTAGTAAACTGAAATGGACCTCCTGGAACCCCCTATATTTCTCTAAGGTGAGGTTACAGGCAAGAACAGCTGATGCCACGTTTTCTTTGATCCAGTCTGGAAGAGCTTTCGATATGACTGCCTCATTATTCACTTGAGGAGTTTTACTTACCCTGACATCTTCATATGCCCTCTCGCCTATCGGTTGCCCGAGCGAAGTCTGTCTTCCTAACATTAGCAGATTAAGGTTTTCGGTACATTAGGTACAGTATGTTTCATGTGGCCACACCAGCACAGAAAGCACGATTTCAAACACATCTGAGACTTCAATCCTACACTGTAAAAAATCTCCGTAAATTTTACCGAGAAAACACGGTAATGCACCGTATATTTTACTTACTGAAAAAAACGTAATTTCTCAATAAATACAGTACCAGTACCGTAATTTACACCTCGCACATTTTCCCAGGACTGATAGGAAAATAGGCAGGTTAGTCGGGCCCTCTCAGGGCCACCACTGACGGGGAGGGGGGCAGAGCTTGCGGAGGGGGAACCGCGCCCATAATAAAATGGATCAAAAATATGATTGCCAAAATTTAATGACAGAACTATTAAATTTTTGAGCGTTTTACATCAATTTCATGATTTGATGATTAAATTCCAGTTAATCATCAAAGTCAATAGTGAATTGGCCTCGCTTAATGATCATCTGCAGGTGGTTGATAATCATAATTATCCACTTTATAGTCAAATCACTAAATTTCATGTAACAATTATTAAATATTGTGATTAAACTATTGAATTTGATGATCCATTTTTATATGGGTTGAGGGTTGGTGAAACTGGGAGAGAACTGCTGATCTACTTATGAGTGGATATGTAAGTACTGGTAGGCCTATCCGTGCCTTTGGTAGAGGAGTTTTAGAATAGGTATAGGCCCAGCTCTATTGTTATGCAGTTATTACATAATAAATGAAAAATATCAAAGGAATATCATACAAGGTATAATATATTTAAGTCTGTGTTGAAATATCCCTTTTCTTTGGTTATGTAGAATACGTTTTCTTTCCTTTGCATTCATAAATGCTTAAATAGTTGATATTGCGTTATTGTGTATCTGTGAATTACTACATAATTATTTGGGGGTAAAGTAAAATTATCTTATTTGAAATGTATTAGTAACAGCCACAAAGGCGTAAAGGAAGTTGAGTTAATTTTAGCATGAACAGGTTGTCAGCGGATCATGGCTGCCTGGGTTGAATGTAGAAAATTGTATGCGTTTTCTATGGCTTGTTCTTGCTTTGAATTAAGTGATCATGAGTAATTAGTGCACCAGCAGAATAGTTGGGAACTTTTAGTTTATTTTCATGTTACTTGCATTATGATTTCATTCAACATATATTCTCTAAATGTAATTTAAGTGTGATCACGTGTCATGTAAACACCAAATAGTTTTATGCTTTCCCTTTGTGCCTTATATGGATTTTGTTTATACTTTTGTTTTATATTGTTATTAAAGCATTATTTTTGTAAAGGTTAAACGATAAATTTGTTTATTAAACTATGAAATTTCATAGTATCAGTGGTTGTTTGAATTTATCTTTGTTGGACAAAAAAATAAATTCAAGAACTGACTGTTGCAAGAGTAGTCCACTGCAATTGCCAGTGGTGAATTTGATCGTACTCCCTGGGTGTCCCCTAGAGTAATTCGACCCAGTGGAAAGTTGTAGATGGGGGCCTGTCCTTACCTATTTGGAATAGTTTGATCAACTAACATATCTATCATATGCTACTTTTCAGGTGATTATTTACAAATATTATTTCATGTTATTTAATACTGTTCATAATTTGTTTGTTTGCAGTAACCAGTGAGTCATAATGGCTAAGTTTAGTGTAGCAGATTTTGTCAATAATCCATTTGCGTCAAGTTTGGTTGATATAAGAAAAGATGACTGGAAAGCTATTGCAGAGTATTACCAGATTCCAATTAAATCATCTTGGCCTAAGTCAGAGATTAAAGAAAATGTCAAGATTTTCAGAAAACTTTATACATTTTTACAAATCGTCTTATTGTATAACGTTGTGTGATCATATCATATCATATCAAGTTTCAGTTGACAATTATGTTTGTAGGCGCCATTATTTCTGTAAATTACATGAATTCCTGATTAAGGTGTGCAAGGAAATGTGATCGGCCCAGGTTTTTTGGTCAAATTTTTTTGGTCAAATTTTAATTTGTAGTGTATGGTTCTTTAAATTCAGTTTAACTCAGAGAAATAAAACAAGGGTCATGTCATTGTTGGAAATAATTACTTTTAGTTTTTATTGCAATTGACTCATGTGAACTGTGTATGGTACTGTTGGTTTAGCAATTGTTGAATGTTAATGTGCTGTGTATGCTTTAATAGTTTGGCATGTCATGAATTTATCACATTTTATGTTTGACATTTCAAGAATTTATGGCGTAAATATCTGCTATGGAATCTTTATCATTCTTAAGATGCTAAACCAGTGCTACATTTTCTACACTACAGTAGAAACACACTTTTTACAGGTTGACTGTAAACTATACGGTTTTCACGTAGAAATTTATTTCACTGCTACTGTAAATCCTACGGGTTCAGCTGTAGAATTCATGGATTACCCGTAAAATTACGGCTTAAAAGCAGTGTCAAAATTCACAATGATACGACTTTTGACCGTAATTTTTATAGGAATATCCGTAAAATTTACGGTAAAATTTGTAAAAGCATTCAGGCGAGACTCTAGTTGGGCCTGCTGTGAGCGAGCCGAAGACACACGACCCTCCTTCTTCGCCCAGATCAGCCGGGTAGGAACGTATTGAGTCAAATTATGGGAAATAAAAAAAAGTGTCCTAAAACTAAAATCGACCGCCTACCATGCTCTGAATATATACTATCAAAAGCGATGGCATGTATGTGTATGCAAATGTATATGTATATGTACATGTATGATTCTGTGTATATGTATATTTATATATATGTGTGTGTATTTGTATATATATAAATATTTATATACATATTCATAGATATAAATATATACATATGTGTTTGTGTATATTTATAATTATTTATAAATGGGTGGGTGCTTCATGCTTGGGGTGATGTGAAGCGATGGTGTGGTAGCCTAGATTGTGTTGAGTGCTTGCATGCCTTCTCGCTTACAGCTGCCACCGCTGGCTAGCCTAATGCATAAGACTCCCCTGCCAGCTCATAGCCTCTCCATCATCAAGACTTCTGCAGTGCCTCCTCGTGGCCACCCATGGAAACTAGGCACCTTGCAATCCTAGGCTGAACTGTGGAGGCTCTTGAAGCAGCAGTAGGCCCTAAAGGTACAGAGTCATAGCCCACCGGCGTGTGGACACGCCCTGACTCCGTACTAACTCCTGCCCCCCGTGCCCCCTGGGGTTAATGGGTAGCTGTGGGGAGGCAGTCTGCCCCCCCCCCCCCCCGAGAGAACCATATTAGCACCAAATCATTTAGTCGGTGGTGCTAGGGGGAGGGCTAAAGTCCCTCCCACCCAGCAAGTAAGGCAGGCTGTAGGTTCCTCTGGGTTGGCGACCCCTGGGACTCAGGTAGGGGGCGGGGGGTTACCCATTACCCCATCAGAGTCCCAGCAGCCGCCAGCCTGGCGTGAAGCTTGTGGGGGGAAAGCCCCCGGGAGCCCCGCAGGCGGATAATGGGACCTGCAGCCAGCCAGCGGGCTGTCTGGGTGGAGGCGTGGAACATCCATTCCTTGCGACAGGACGATCGGTTACCACTACTGTCGAGGGAATTGAAGCAGCTGAGAGTTGAGGTGGCTGCTCTCTCGGAGGTGAGGAGACCTGGCAGCAGCACGATTAGTGCGGGTGGCTACACCTATTACTGGTTGGGCCATAGCGATGGCCACCATCTCCAGGGAGTAGCCATAGCCATCTCCAGCAGACTTCAACCCTTGGTAGTAGAGGTCACCCCAGGCAATGAACATATTAAGGTATTGAGACTGAAGCTTTCATTTGGCTTCATGTCTCTTATTGCTGTGTACGCTCCTACGAATGTATATAACTTGCCAAACTTGCATCTGTGACAGACAGCTGTCCTCGGCGAGATATTCGTATTGTTCTGGTGACTTCAATGCGGTATCTGGCTGCGATCGAGATGTCTGTCGGTCCTCATGGCTCAGGAGCTGATGCTGGGAGCGAGAATAGCCTCCTTTTCCGTGACTTTGCTTGGTACAGCAATACAGGTAGTGTGGCCAAGGAGATCGACCACATACTTATTAGCACTTGTTGGAGGATCCTCCAGAACTGCAGGGTGTATCGAAGCGCCGAGTTCTGTGGAACCGATCATAGAGTAGTTGTGGCTACTCTCCGGGTCCACTTTAGAACGCCCCGTCCTTAGATTAAGGAAGGTTGAGTATGCCCAGGGGTTTGCCGAGGCTATCTTTGGTCGTTTCACAGCACTTGAGGGCCTGGCAGACCCTGTTCTTTTGTGGGGCACCTCCAAGCTTAAAAGGCTTGATGCAGCCCATGATTCAATTGGTGAACGCCCAAGAGCAAGACAGAATTCCATCTCGCAGGAGATACTGGAAGCCAGATACTTGTTGTGCAGCTCAATTGTCAGGGGATCGCAACTTGCATCGTTCTCACATCTTACTGAGACTTATCAGAGACAACCTGCTGAGGCACTAAAGGCCAGAGCAATCGGGATTCACTCCTGGTAAGTCCACAAAAGACTGCATCCTGGCGCTTCGAGTCATTGTAGAGCGCCGTCGTGGGCTGCTTGGAGCCTACATCGACCTTAAGAAGGCTTCGCGAATCACTCTGGGAGATCCTGAGGCTAAGAGGAATTCCAACAAGGATTATTGGATTAATAGCAAGCCTGTATACAGGCACTGAAAGTGTTGTAAAGTGTGGTGGGGGCCTGTCGAGCATCTTCCCTGTTAGCTCAGGGGTGAGGCAAGGCCGTGTTCTTGCACCAACACTTTTCAACACTTGCATGGATTGGATCCTGGTAGAGCTAGTATCCAAAGTCACTGTGGAGCAACTCTGGGCAATATCAAGGTTACTGACCTTGACTTTGTTGATGATGTTGCCATTCTATCTGAATCTTAACGTCGGCTCTTGATGCATTTAGCTAGAGGTCTCCAAGATCCAGGATTTTGGAGGCCTACTAGGAGACCCTGTGCAGTCGGTACGTGCTTGCGGCGAAAACATCGAAGTTACCAAGAGCTTTATATACCTCGGTAGTGCAGTTCACGACTCTGGGCTGCCAGACCAGTAGACGGATTGGCCTGGCAGCAGGGGTCATAAAATCTCTTGACAAGAGCATTTGGAGATGCCAGTACCTGTGCAGAAGGACCAAGTTACATGTTTTCAAGGCCAGTTTTATTATATGGTAGTGAAACCTGGACGCTATCTTGTGCCTTGGAATTTCGTCTTGATGCCTTTTGTAACAGATCCTTGCGCCGGATTTTTTTTCATTGACCCAACATTTCCAAGTTTGTCCAGGAGAAACGTCCAATATTTTGTCCAGGAATCTGTACACGCACACACACACACATACATATTTATGTATGTGAGTGTGTGTGTGTGAATATGTACATATATACGTATGTTGTATGTATATACCAATTCATCACTGTCCACCCAGTCCCCTGTAATAAAGCACCCATGAGACCGTATCTACCTTGAAAGTACATTTAAAAAACAGTTCTTATAACGAATGTTTGTTATTTAACAAGAGACATTCATCATATATGGTTGCGGACTTACCATGCCAGCAATGTCCGCAGCGGTGATGAAATTTCCCACGGCGTAGGAGAGGCCGTACCCGAAGTAGATGCCCCAGTTGAAAATTCCCAGAGCAAGAGCACGCTTCGACTGTGGGAAAGAGTTGCGCGTTAAAATGTGGAGGTGGAGATGTGTGTGTGTGTGTGTATCATATATATATATATATATATATATATATATATATATATATATATACATATATATATATATGTATCTTGATTTTTTGCATCTTCAATCTTTCAATGAAACAATTAATCAACACACACATATATATATACACTGCAGTTGTATTTAAGTTAAACATGTTGTTGCCTTGATTACTTGCTATAATCATAAGAATGTATTCATCCAAAGAGTTCATTAAAGAGAGTGATTCTCCCAGCCAACATACCTACCTCTGGAAACATATCAGAGATCATACTGCTACACGCCGGCGAGAAACCAGACTCTCTGGGGAAACAACAGGCCTTGTCACTGCCAAGCACATCAGGGCGTTTATTTTCCGATCATATGTGTTACATCCAATATTTACAATCGAAAAATTTCTTACTTACCCAGCACCCATAACCATCCTCAGAATAACAAGTTGCCAATATGACATTGCTGCACCAGTTAGCCCTGTGGCGACAGTAAGCACAGCACAGCATATTGTTACCACTATCTTCCTGTGGATAATGTTTGTTGAATTATAGTTACAGTCAACTGCAATTTGGCTTTGGCTCTTTTTTGGTTTTTAGAGATAAAAATATATTTGCAGTTTAACGAATGCCTAAAATAACCATGATTCATACCGGTTAAACTTGTCTGCAATGACGCCAATGATGACACCGGCAGTTGTGAAGACGGCGACGAAGGCGGGGCCTGCGAGGACTTGGTACTGGAGTCCCAAGCCAGAGTAGTCCCACGTGCAAGAGGATATATTTCCTTGCGGTTCTAATGCCAGGCAACTGAAACAGGTGATTTTTATTACAAATAAAGTAGGTTATATATATATATACATATATATATATATACACGTGTGTGTATGTGTACATGCGTATGTGTGCGTGTACGTAAATGCATGAATGAATATGCATATACATACATATACGTTATTTTTTAATACATATATACATATATAAACATATATAAGGAGAGAGAGAGAGGGGGGGGGGAGAGACAGAGAGAGAGAGAGGGGGGGAATTTCTGGCTACTGGTATCAGCGCTAACCAAGCCTACCAGAGTGCCGAGTTCTGTGGCACTGATCAAAGACTGGTTGTAGCAACCATATGGGTCCACTTCAACACGCCAGGGTGTTTCACTTGGACAAATTGAGGGAGGAGGAGTGTACCCGGAGGTTAGCCACGGCAATCTCTAATCGACTGAATAGCAATCAGGATTTGCACCGTTCTTTGGTGTGCAGGGCTCGGTCACTGCTGAAAAGGGACAAGGAACAGTTCATCACGAACCTTGCGGTCCGCACAGTGAATGGACATATCTCAGATCATGTTGGGGTTTGTGAATGTTGGGCTGAGTATATTGAGTGGCTGTACCACGCAGACCCTCCAGCAGCTAGTCTGGATGCATGTGGTGTCACAATACCTGTGCCGGACTCACCCTTTGGCTAGGAACCTCCAACCCAAAATAAGATTTGGGAAGCGATCTATAAGCTAAAGGGGAAAGTTGCAGTCACATGTGATATCCCTGCAGAACTGCTAAAGGCATGGGGCTTGCACACGGTCTTGACTGCCATCAGGCTTTCTGGTTCCATTCCCACTGACCTGTTGAGGGCATGGTCATCGCTCTCTGGAAGGGGAAACTGTAGCAACTACCGTGGCATCAAACTGCTCAGTATACCAGGCAAGGTTTTCGCCCACATTCTTTTGAAACGGATCCACCTACTACAGCACCATAAACCAGAGCAGTCTAGATTCACTCTTGGCAAGTCCACAATAGATCGTATCGCTTCGAGTCATTGTCGAACGCCGCCGCGAGCTTGGTCATGGGTTGCTTGCAGCCCACATCGACCTCAAGGTGGTGTTTGAATCGGTGTATTGCGAATCGCTATGGAAATCCTGAGACTTAGGGGAATTCTGATTATTGATTTAACAGCAAGCCTGTATGTTGGTATTGAAGGGGATGTAAAGTGTGGTGGGAGCCCGCCAAACCTCCTCCCTGTTAATTCAAGGGTAAGGCAAGACATCTTTTCAACAATTGCATGAACTAGACTATGAGCAGAGCTACTATCCAAAGTCAGTGTGGAGCAAAACTGGGCAATATCAAGGTCACCGACCTCGACTTTGCCGACGATGTTGCGTCAGAGTCTCAGGGCCTTGGGTCTAGAGGTCTCCTGGACCAAAACCAAGATTCTGGATTTTGGGGGCCTGTTAGTGGAACCCGATCAGTCGGTACATGCTTGTGGTGAGGACGTTGAAGTCACAGAAAGCTTTGCATACCTTAGTATCGTAGTCCATGTCTCTGGACTGTCAGACTAAGAAGTCAGTCGATGGCAGCAGGAGCCATGAACTCGATCAACAATCATTTGGAGATGTCGGTACCTATGCAGAAGGACCAAGTTACGTGTCTTCAAGGCCTTGATACTGCCAGTTTTGCGAAACCTGGACGCTATCCAGTACCTTGGAGAGTCTCTGCCGAATTATGGGGTACAGTTGGTAAGACTATGTGTCTAACTGACGGCTACACTGTGAGACTGGTATGATACCTGTTATTTGCATAATCCGGCACCGCCAACTCAGGCTATATGGCCACTTAGCTCGTTGTATGTGTGTTTGTAAATAAATGAATAAATAAATAGATATATAAATATATATATATATATATATATATATATATATATATAAATATATGGAGACCCTTAGGCAAGGTTCAGTAGCCACTTAGCCTCCCTATCTGGGTTACGTGAAGTCACAGTAGGCAGGTGATGGATGAGCAGCCGAGCAACCTGAATAGTTTGGGAACTGGTCATCTGTTCAGCGTGTTAGGCAGAGGATACCTCAAGAGTACAATGGCTAAGACAGCATGCTCAGTACGAGTACTGCCCCTATAGAAAGTAATTACAGCCTACTATAGGTACATTCCTGCAAAGCAAATCATGGAAAGAAACTCAAAACAAAAGTCAGAAAACAGCGTAAAGGGGGTCCCCAGTTCAGCTGAGAACTCCTCGCTCGATAGGGAGGGCTATGTACGACAGGTGTCACCCGACCGTCATCCCACGATTGTCCGTAATCGCGAAGTCTGAACAACTTCACGACCAGAAAACAGTCCCCCATCAACGAACTCATACGCAAGATTGGCAACAGAGAAGAGCGGAAGTCCATGACTGCCGATGTCTGCAACAGACCTGGCACATGAAGAAGATATATATATATATATATATATATATATATATATATATATATATATATATATATATATATATATATATATATATATATATATATATATATATATATATATATATATATATATATATATATATTGTGTGTGTGTATGCTTGTGGGTACATATATCTGTATGTGTGTGTGTGTACATATACGTGTATGTGTGTACATGTTTATGTGTGGTTTGTTCATACACGTGTTCATACACGGTATGTGTGTGTGTGCATATATGTGTGTGTACATGTGTATGCGTGTGTAGATATATGTGTATGTGTGTGTGTAT